AGGAGGGTGGCGTAAACGGAGCAGTTGGAAAGGTGAATGAGTCTGGCAGGATGGACTGAAGCGGGGATAGCCAGCGACGAGGCAGGCCAGTAAGGAGGGAGTTGCAGTAATCGAGTCGTGATACGATGAGGGAGTGGATGAGCTGTTTAGTGGTTTCTGGGGTTAGGAACGTGCGTATTTTGGCGATGTTGCGGAGGTGGAGTCTGCACGAGTTTGTTAAAGATTGGACTTGGGGCTGGAAGGATAGGTTGGAGTCCAGAATGACACCAAGTACTCTGGCTGCGGGGCGGGTTTGATGATGGCGTTGTTTGACGTGATGAGAAGTCAATGGGGGGTGGGGTCCGGGCTGGGGGGAAGACAAGAAACTCGGTTTTAGAGAGGTTCAGTTTAAGGAAGTGGAGCGACATCCAGTCTGATATGAAAGGCAGCACTGATTGGGCTGCACTAATAATCAGGCCAGTTGATCATAGACACTTCTGAATCCCAGTCGGAGATGACTCCAGAGCCACCCAAAGATGACATGGAAGAGGCACTAGTGATTTTTGACGATGAATTCTCTTTACACATTGGAGCAGAAATACACATTGAGTAAAGAAGAATTGGTGAGTGATGGCGCATCTGAAAGAACATCACATATGGTCAACTTTCTCAGGTATGTGGCTTTCTTGAGAAAATTAAAGCATCAAAAGATCCTATATGTATTTTGTAGTAGTCAGCTCCACAATTCAAACTTTTAGGGACAAGCCACACTAGCATTTCTGATCTAAGTGTGTAGTCATTACTCTTTGTCCCACCATATTACCAACCGTTGAACTGACCACATGCAGTTTGTCATTATAAATTTAATTTTCTTGTTTGCATTTCACAGATAATTTCTTTATTTTCTTCTAACAATATTTCTTTAATTTTTTTAGCTGACAAGTCTGGACTATCCCCAATGGATGAACAAGACCCCTGCCTGGTACATGGGAGATGTAACTTGTACATATATAAGTAGTTACTCCTCCTTTGCACTGGGTGGTGTTCTTGATGTGTCTCTGTACAGAAAAATACATTTTGATCCTGCCAGAAGTCCAGCGAGCTCTTAAAATCCTGTTTGAGCTAACAACACTTTTTCTGTTTCACTGAAGTTTCAAGCAAATCTTTCAGCCAGGTTTAGAAATACATGCCTATATGCATACATTAGTAAGTCAACCACTTAGCCATATTTCTTGCATGAATTGGGCTCATCGTCTCTTCTTCTTTATTCCTCAGCAAAACAACCAGACTTGTGTAGGACAGTCAGGTACATAGAATCTTTAGAATGAAAGGTCAGCAGTGACTCTGTAATGATCTCATTAGAGGTTCTCTCTCTCACTCCCTTGTTTTTCCTTCTCTCTTTTTACCCTTTTTCCTCTCAACTTTCTATTCTCCTCTCCAACCTCCTTCCACTCCAATTTTCACTCTCTCTCTCTTGCCATTTTCTCTTCCCCTCTCTTTACCCCTTCACTATCTCACCCCCCCCTCTCTCTCCCTCTCTCTCTCTCTCTCTCTCTCTCTCCCCATCCCTTCCCATCTTTCTTCTCTCTTCTCTCCTCTATGTTCCCCTACCCTCTCATTTCCTTTACTTTTCTATTTCATCCCTTCCCTCGCTTCTCTCTCTCTTTCCTTCTCTTCCAATCTGTATTTGATTGGTTATGAAATCACTTACGTTGCCCTTGCTCTTCAAAAGGTTGAGCTCTCCTGATCTACATACTGTACAATATAATAGATTTCACCGAAAAAAAGATTTGTCCATTGCATTTAAATTTAAAGAGGATTCAACCATCATAATTCATCAAGATTCACTCATCAGCGGTGAAACATATAATCAATTCATGAAAGTGGGCAAATAAATTCTCATCAAATCCTATTAAATCATACTTATAAGTAAACCATTACATATCCTTGTGATCAATGAAATAAAACGGTGCTCAGTGCAAAAAAAGGTGAATTTGTGCAAGGATCCACTTCCAGAAATCCAACCAACAAAGACTGCGGTAACTCAGCTGGTATTAGAGTTTCCACCACAGGGATTTGTCATGATTCATTATTCTTCTCTGTCTACACCTCCTCCCTTGGTCACTTGATAAACTCCCATAGCTTTAAGTACCATCTCTATGCTGATGACACACAAATCTATCTCTCTACCCCTCACCTCACCCCTTCAGTCTCCTCCTCACCTCACCCCTTCAGTCTCCTCTCGCATTACTAACCTACTAAGCGACATATCGGCGTGGATGTCACTCCACTTCCTCAAACTCAATCTTTCCAAAACTGAGCTCTTAGTATTCCCCCCAGCCCGTGCCCCCATCCCTGACTTCTCCATCAAGATCAATAACACAATCATCAGTTTCTCCCCTCATGCCAGGGTACTAGGTGTAATCCTAGACTCCCATCTGTCCTTTCAGTCCAAATCCAATCACTGTCCAAATCTTGTAGACTTCACCTCCGTAACATCTCCAAGATACGCCCCGGTCCTAACCTCGGAAACCACTAAGCAACTTATTCACTCCTTTGTTATATCTTGCTTTGACTATTGTAACTCCCTCCTCATTGGCCTACCGAATCACAGGCTATCCCCTCTTCAGTCTATCATGCTGCTGCCAGACTCATCCACCTTACTAACCGCTCTGTATCTGCCACCCCTCTCTCTGCCAATCCTCCACTGCCAATCCCTCCACTGGCCTCCACTCAGTGTCCTCCGCCCCTCTCTGCCAATCCCTCCACTGGCCCCCACATAGTGTCCTCCACCCCTCTCTTCCAATCCCTCCACTGACTTCCCATTGCCCAACGGATAAAATTCAAAACATTAACAATAACATATGAAGCCATTTATAACTGCCCCAAATTACATCAGCAATCTTGTCTCCAAATACCACCCACCGTAATCTCTGCTCCCGGCAAGACCTCCTGCTCTCTAGCTCCCTTGTCTCCTCCTCCCATGCTCATCTCCAGGACTTCTCCAGAGCTTTCCCCATCCTCTGGAACTCTCTAACCCAATTTATCAGACTATCGCCTACTATGCAAACTTTTTAGCCGATCTCTGAAAACCTATCTCTTTAGGGAAGCCTATCCTGCCCTCAGCTAATAATGGAATCTTCTACTCTTCCAACCAGTCCATCCCCCACACTTACTACCTTATGTATCACTAGCCCCTCCCTCCTAGATTGTAAGTTTCAAGGATCAGGGCCCTCCTATCCCTCTTGTATTGAACTGTATTGTTGCTGTATTGTCTCCCGTTATGTTGTAATGCGCTGAGCAAACCGTTGGTGCCATAAATCCTGTATTATAATAATAATAATAATGAAGAAGAAGTATAAATTTATATGATTTATAATAAAATGTATTTGTCATTTTCATGAACTGATTATATGTGTCACTGGATTCATTTAAATTTTAAAGGGATAACACAGCACTTTTGATCTGATAATAGCTGGGTTGTTGATGATTTTATGGCAACTCTTGCACTGGTTGCTAATGTAAGCAGTTGTGTCCCTTCCAATACTAAGATTATCAGGCAAAATTGGCATTTCTGAGGGCCACAGCTGGAAACCCCTAGTCCCAAAAATGGATTGTGGCTTCCATAAACATGGCCATGGAAAGAGTATCATCAGTCACGCCTCAGCCAGGTGTTCTACCTCCTCTTTTACCATATCAGTTCACAAGTCCATCACCATTATTATGGTCAGTTTCTGTCCTGGGGGTAAAAGTTCTCTCTATATTTAGCAACTACATTTTGCTATGAAGCAAAACCAAAGTGTATTTTAGTGAATATCACAATCTCTATTGTATTGTATTGTTACATTTACCTAAAATTGTTACATTATTTGTTTTATATTTTTCACTACATTTCAGGTTTTAGGTGCTTCTTTTAGTGACCATCTCCATGCAGTAGGCCTCCTTGATGATGAACAACAGCTGACATGAGGGGGAAGCTACACAGCAAGTGTATTGATTGTATTCAGTCTGTTCAGACAGGTAGAACAATAATGAGAAGAGGTGAATTACAACAAATATGATAAGATGGAATCAGATTCTCCCTTATAATGAGCCAATATGACTACCTTCCTGCACCCCGGTCTATTGTTATGTCATACAGTATCACCTGTAATTAATAGAATATTGCCCCTTGGCAGCTTACATTTAAATCAAACAATTCCCTTCTATCTTCAGAACCCGGACATACAATATAAGACGTATTACACAACCACATTGATCAAACTCTAGCTAGTATATATTTCTCAGTACAAGAATGTAGTGGATTGTGATTGACAGTCCACGTTTTATTAGATGATCAGTAAAAATGACAATTTTATAGTCTTGCTACTGTCTGTATCTTGCTCTTTAAATTCCTTACTCTCTTAAGTAAACAAATCAGATATAGGTTGACAGAACAATGATGATAATTAAGATGGCGCCTTCATCCGGAGTCTCACCCTTGGTGACTCATTAGGAGAAAAGTATCTTTTAATGTAAACAACCCCCATAAAAGGGAATGAGTCTCTTTGGGGACAATGATTGGAAGGTATCAACACGGATGGACGAACACACAGAAACCCAGTGGACTTTTCACCCAATCAATGTATATGCTTTGCCTGCATCATATGCCCTATAAATGATACTGTTAGTTCCTCAATAAAAACAGAAATTTTAGGAACTTGGCATTACTGCGAAGTGTCAGTGTCTTACTTCCACGTGCACGTATTCTCATATTAATTTGGCTCACTGGTAGATCACGGTAAATGGTCTGTAAGTGACCTAGTCCAGGACATTTGGCGCCCAACGTGGGGCCCGGTGTCAGGGCTCCCAGGTGTGACCAGAGATGTGTGACTGACGCAGGGAAACGCAGACTTCAGATATGTGATAAACAATACAATTTATTAACACACTAACATACAAACATAAACGCAGTGCAATACTAAACATAATACAGTGCAAACAAACCAAACCAAACCACCCACAGATAACAGTACATACAAGCAAGCGTCGTCAGGCAGGCCGGGTCAATATCAATTGGGCAGGTAGGTACAGGGGGAGCAAGCAGAGAATGGTCAGGATCACAAGCCAGGGATCAGAACAGGTAGCAGTAGCAAGCAGCGTGGTACAGAGGGTCAGACAGAGGGATGGTCAGGAGCGAGCCGGGATCAGAGCAGGAGAAGTCAGCAGCGGTTCAGAAACAGGATGCAGGACAGAAACAGGATACAGGGCCCAGGACAAACACAACACCCAAGGCAGAGTCTGTGGGTCTGGCCATCCCTTAAATACCCCAGCATCATCAGTTCCAGGTGTTAGCTGGCTGAAAGATTGAGTCTCTGATTGCTGGGAGCACCCGCTGGCCAGCCCTGGTACTGCAGATCAAAAGGCAGGTGAGTCCCACCATTGCTGGCCAGTCCATTCCTGACAGTACCCCCCCCCTCAAGGAGCGGCCTAAGGACGCTCCAAACAGTCCTAGCTGGGCAAAAATGTTCCACTGCCGGGGTCTGGTAACTGGCGGGATATCAAAGACTGGCACACCGGGCAGGACTCCGGGCAGCGGCACACACGGGCTGGACTCCGGGCAGAGGCACACCGGGCTGGACTCCGGGCAGAGGCACATCGGGCTGGACTCCGGAATCAGAGGGCACATCGGGCTGGACTCCGGGCAGAGGCACATCGAGCAGAGGCACACCGGGCAGAGGCACACCACCATGGGCAGAGGCACACCGGGCAGAGGCACATCAGGCAGGACTCCGGGCAGAGGCACATCGGGCAGGACTCCGGGCAGAGGCACATCGGGCAGGACTCCGGGCAGAGGCACATCGGGCAGGACTCCGGGCAGAGGCACATCGGGCAGGACTCCGGGCAGAGGCACATCGGATTACCAGGCGAAAGCAGCAGGCAGCGGGCCACCAGGCGGAGCAGCCAGCAGACACCCAGGGCCCCCGGGCGGAGCAGCAGGCACCCACAGGGCCCCCGGGCGGAGCAGCAGGCACCGGGCCCCCGGGCGGGCGACATGCATCGGGCCCCCCCCCCGGCGGAGCAGCAGGCACCGGGCCCCCGGGCGTGGGCAGCAGCAGGCACCGGGCCCCCCGGGCGGGCAGCAGGCACCGGGCCCCCGGGCGGGGCGACAGGCATCGGGCCCCCGGGCGGGGCGACAGGCATCGGGCCCCCGGGCGGGGCAGCAGGCACCGGGCCCCCCCGGGCGGAGCAGCAGACACCGGGCCCACGGGCGCAGCAAGCAGGCACCGGGCCCCCGGGGCGGGGGAGCATCAGGCACCGGGCCCTCCGGGCGGAGCAGCAGGCACCGGGCCCCCGGGCGGAGCAGCAGGCAGGCCGGGGCCCCCGGGCGGAGCAAGCAGGGCACCGGGCCCCCGGGCGGGGCGACAGGCATCGGGCCCCCGGGCGGGGCGACCAGGCATCGGGCCCCCGGGGCGGAGCAAGCAGGCACCGGCCCCTAGCGTGAGCAGCAGGGCACCGGGCCCCCCCGGGCGCGGAGCAGCAGGCACCGGGCCCCCGGGCGGGGCGGAGCAGCAGGCACCGGGCCCCCCGGCGGGGAGCGACAGGCATCCGGGCCCCCAGGCGGGGCGGGGGGCGCGCCAGCCCCCAGGCGGGCGGGGGCGACAGGCGATTCGGGCCCCCCGGGCGGGCGACAGGCACCGTGCCCCCAGGGCGGGGCGACAGTCATCGGCCCCCGGGCGGGGCGGCGACAGGCATCGGCCCCCAGGCGGGGCAGCAGCAGGCATCGGGCCCCCAGGCGGGGCGACAGGCATCGTGCCCCCCATGGCGGATTTATGCCAGCGACAGGTCTCGGGCCCTCAGGCGCGGGCGCCCGGACGGTGGAGACGCGCAGGTCCGGGCCCCAGGCGGATGGCGGGCGACCACATCCCCCATGGCCCTAGCAGGCGGAGCGGCGGGGGCGCCGGGCCCCCAGGCGGGCGAGCGACAGGCATCGGCGGGCCCTCAGGGCGGGGCGACGGGCGACAGGGCGGGCCCAGGTGGGGCGACAGGATCGGGCCCCCAGGCGGGGCGACAGGCATCGTGCCCCCAGGCGGGGCGACAGGCATCGTGCCCCAGGCGGGGGCGACAGGCATCGTGCCCCCAGGCGGGGCTAGGTCGTGGCACGGCGGTCTGGGCCCCAGGCGGAGCGACTAGGGTCTCGGGATCCTGGCTGGAGCGAGCGGGAACCAGATCAGGCAGGGGGGGGGCATTTGGGGCGACAGGGTCTCGGGCCCTCAGGCGGGCAGCGGCGGGCGCCGGACCCCCAGGCGGAGCGACAGGTCTCGGGCCCTCAGGCGGGGGAGCTGGGGGACGCCGGGCCCCAGGAGGAGGTCGTGTATTTGGCGGGGCGACAGCGGGCATCGCGGCATCCCCAGTGGGGCTCAGTCAGGCTTGCGGCCCTCAGGGCAATGGGTCGACATTGCAGATTGTCTCGACCCCCAGGGGGGCGACAGGCATCGTGCCCCCAGGCGGGGAGACGGGCACCGAGTCACCAGGCACAACCGTTGGGCTCCGAGTCAACTGGGATGACCGCTGGCACTGGGTCAGACATTGGATCGTCTGGCTGGGACAGTGGGCATCGGGTCACCAGCATCAGGTCATTTGGCTCGACAGCGGGGCACGCGCGTCATCTGGCAAGGCAGTGGGCTCCGAGTCAACTGGTATGACCGCGGGCACTGGGTCAGACATTTGATCGTCTGACTGGACAGCGGGCATGGGTCACCAGGCATCAGGTCATTTGGCTCGACAGCGGGCACCGCGTCATCTGGCAAGGCAGTGGGCTCCAAGTCAACTGGTATGACCGCGGGGCACTGGGTCAGACATTGGATCGTCTGACTGGACAGCGGGCATCGGGTCACCAGGCATCAGGTCATTTGGCTAATGCCAGACAGCATACAGGGTCATTTGGCTCGAATTAATCAGCGGGCACCGCGTCATCTGGCAAGGCAGTGGGCTCCGAGTCAACAGGCACGACAGTGAGCACCGGGTCATCAGGTACCGGATTGTCTGGCTCGACAGCGGGCATCGGTCACCAGGTATGAAGCGGGCACTGGGTCACCAGGCATCAGGTCATTTGGCTCGACAGCGGGCACCGGATCAGGTAAGGATCATCTGGATCAACAGCGGGCATCGAGTCAACTGGCCTAATAGGATCGTCAGGCTGGATCAGTTCACAGTCATGTCTGGGTAGAGGCATCAGGCTGAATGCCGGCGTCCAGCTGAGTAGAGGCTTCAGGCGAGGGCTTCAGGCCGAGTAGAGGCTTCAGGCCGAGTAGAGGCATCAGGCCGAGTAGAGGCATCAGGGCCGAGTAGTAGGCTTCAGGGCGAGTAGAGGCTTCAGGGCCGAGTAGAGGCTTCAGGCCGAGTAGAGGGCTTCAGGCCGAGTAGAGGGCTTGCTCAGGCCGAGTAGAGGCTTCAGGCCGAGTAGAGGCTTCAGGCCGAGTAGAGGCTTCAGGCTGAAGAGAGATCATCAGGCTACCTGCGTACCGGCATCAGGCCGAGTAGTAGTGAGGCATCAGGACCGAGTAGAGGCATCAGGCTGAGTAGAGGCATCAGGCTGAGTAGAGGCATCAGGCTGAGTAGAGGCATCAGGCTGAGTAGAGGCATCAGGCTGAGTAGAGGCATCAGGCTGAGTAGAGGCATCAGGCTGAGTAGAGGGCATCAGGCTGAGTAGAGGCATCAGGCCTGAGTAGTACAGGCTTCAGGCTGAGTTACAGGCTTCAGGCTGAGTAGAGGGCTTCAGGCTGAGTAGAGGCTTCAGGCTGAGTAGAGGCTTCAGGCTGAGTAGAGGCTTCAGGCTGAACCACGGAAGGCAGGTTCACCGGTTTGGATACTGGCAGGATGGTATTGGTTGGAAAGAATTTTTCGATTTTTTCTGGTTTTAACTACTGGAGCACTGCAAGTAAAACGCAGGTCTGCAAACGAATGGAGCAGCTGGAGACAGAGAAGAACTGGAGGATGGAACAGGAGAGGGAGCAGTTGCTACAGAGGGGCTTTTTTATACAGGGTTAAAGGCAGGATAGGTGCAGCGAGTGGGAACAGGGTACTGACATGCGGTAGATAGCAGGGCAGGAGGAGGAGCTGTTGGGAATACAGGAGTAGAGCTTTGAGGAAATAGGTTAGAAGCAGGACTGGGTCTTTGTAAGCTGACTGAGGCTGGGTGCAACAAGTCTGTCCATGTCTGCAGTAGGGGTTGAACAAAGCTGAGCTTACACAAAGCCTGTCTGGTCAATGACTGCACTGCGTTTATACAATCTCTTAGTATCTGTGGTGAACATGTGGAATAACGCTCCAGAAAGTAACCCACATCATCCTCTAATAACCACACCAGGGACTCTACCTGGTCGGCACTAAATGGTGGCAAAAATTCATCCCTGCATTCGGGGGAACCAGATGAAACCAACTCAGCACAAACCTCAATCAATGGCTGCACCTCAGAGAACTCTGTGCCCTGATCTACTAGAACATGAGCGAGCCGTATACATTCTAGCAGTTCATCCCCGGGTATACTCCTTCAGAGTTTGATAAGCATACTCCCTGTCATCAAACACTAGCAGATATAAATAGACAACCTCATCCAGATCCATCCTTCCCAGCAACAAGCCAAGATGGCTTCCCTGTGCAGCCCACTTCTGGTCAGGATTGGCCTTGGTGTAATGTCAGAGCTCCCAGGTATGACCAGAGATGTGTGACTGACTGATGCAGGGAAACGCAGACTTCAGATATGTGATATAACAATACAATTTATTAACACTAACCATACAAACATAAACGCAGTGCAATACTAAACATAATACAGTGCAAACAAACCAAACCAAACCACCCACAGATAACAGTACATACAAGCAAGCGTCGTCAGGCAGGCCGGGTCAATATCAATTGGGCAGGTAGGTACAGGGGGAGCAAGCAGAGAATGGTCAGGGTCACAAGCCAGGGATCAGAACAGGTAGCAAGCAGCGTGGTACAGAGGGTCAGACAGAGGGATGGTCAGGAGCGAGCCGGGGATCAGAGCAGGAGAAGTCAGCAGCGCGGTTCAGAAACAGGATGCAGGACAGAAACAAAGGCAGAGTCTGTGGGTCTGGCCATCCCTTAAATACCCAGCATCATCAGTTCCAGGTGTTAGCTGGCTGAAAGGTTGAGTCTCTGATTGCTGGGAGCACCCGCTGGCCAGCCCTGGTACTGCAGATCAAAAGGCAGGTGAGTCCCACCATTGCTGGCCAGTCCATTCCTGACACCCGGGTTCTGAACACCGGCTCAGCCCGACCCAGAGTGGATGAGGGGGACCGTGGAGCATTCCAGACGCGGAGACTGATCACCTCCGAAAGCGGTAAGTGAATTTTTATGTCTAATAATTCCTTACCTGCGTAGTCTGGAATTGCCCAGCGGGACTACTCACCCGTCTGGCTGTCCGTTGATCAGCAAAGTGACAGGTATACTTGCCCGGGGCTCCTTTGAACCCACCTGTCAGTGTAACGTCATCTACCAGTGTGATATGTCTTGTCTTTTGTGTTGTCTGTGTGTACCAGTGTGATTGGTTGGGTTGTTGTTGATGCGCCTGTGAGGGAGGGGGAGAATTACGGCAAAATATTCCTCGTCAGGAGTGTGGACAGGATACACTCTGATTTGAGAGAGGGTGCCGGGCACTCGCAGTCGCGGTGATGGTGACTGTCGAGGGGAAACTCGTAGTCGCAGTAATGGTGACTCGAGGGAAAAAATAACCACAGCCAGGGATTGGCTTGTGGGGGAAAAAGAAAACTAAAAAAAAACAAAAAAAAAACATTTTACTCCCCGACAGGCGTGTCTGAAATACTATGTCATGATCACACTGTGTATGTGGA